GACACCCGGGTGAGTGGTGGGGACCTCCCTCTGTCCTGGGAGCCCATCTTGATGGAGTTGGGTGCCCCCGTTTTGGCCAGACATCCCTAACCTCACCCCCCTCCTCCCCAGGTGTGGTACATGGACGGCTACTACAAGGGTCGGCGCGTCTTGGAGTTTCGGACCTTGAACGACTTCGTGACGGGGCAGAACTTCGTGCAACATCTCCTGCCTCATCCCTGGGCTGGCACCGGCCACGTTGTCTTCAACGGGTCCCTCTACTACAACAAATATCAGAGTAACATCGCCGTGAAGTACCATTTTCGCTCTCGCAGCGTGTTGGTTCAACGCAGCTTGGCCGGCGCCGGCTACAACAACACCTTCCCTTATTCTTGGGGTGGTTTCTCCGACATCGACTTCATGGTGGACGAGAACGGGCTGTGGGCCGTCTACACCACCAACCAAAACGCCGGCAACATCGTGGTGAGCCGGGTGGACCCCCAAACCTTGGAGGTCCTGAGGAGCTGGGACACGGGGTACCCCAAACGTAGCGCCGGGGAGTCCTTCATGATCTGCGGCACCCTCTACGTCACCAACTCCCACCTGGCCGGGGCCAAGATCTATTTTGCCTACTACACAAACACTTCCAGCTACGAATACACGGATATTCCCTTCCACAACCAGTATTCCCATATATCCATGCTGGACTACAACCCACGGGAGAGGGTGCTCTACACCTGGAACAACGGCCACCAGGTCATCTACAACGTCACGCTCTTCCACGTCATAAAGACCTCGGGTGAGCTGTGACACCCCCTCTCCCACCCCACGCTGGACTCCTCTGCTCTTCCCCCTGCCCAGCTCTTTATTTTTCTACACTTCAGCCTCGGTCATTCTCTCTAGGGGATGGAGCCTTCCTCCTCCTCCTTCTCCTCCTTCTCTTTGATTTTTTTTAATTATTTTTTTACATTTCTTTGGTTTCCTCTCGCGGTTCGTGGCGCATGGATCTCTTCTGCCTTTTCTGCCTTCATTTGAGCTGACCTAGGTTGGGTGTTTTTTTTTATTGGTTTGGGTCGGTTGGTTGGTTTTTTTTTTCAATTTACATCTTTATTTTGACGGCAAATAAAAAGAGTCTCTTTGACGTTTGATGGGGCTTGTGCTGATTTTTTATTTTTCTTCCCCCCCCAATTTTTTTAAAAAAAAGATGATTATTATTATTTGACACTGGGTGGCTTGGTTTCTCCCTCTTTTTTCCTGCACCCCCTCTGCCAGGAGCTGGCTGTGATCCACAGCCCTCTCCTCCAGATGTGTGCAGGCAGCCAGCGACGTTGTTTATGGGCATGTTTAATGCATGCGGGTGCGGCGCTGGGGAAATTACAGCAGAGCTGGGCCAGGCGAGGAGGAAAGGAAGGGAAATGATGGTGCAGCCACAACGAGCTGAGGTGGGGAGCAGACCCTACCAAAGGGGAGCAGATCCTGCCCCCGATGGGGCCGGGGTGGCAAGATCCTGGTCATGGGGGAGAGGAAGAACCTGCTGCCCAGGGGTGAGGAGGGATGGAAAGGGTGGAGGAGATGGGGAAAGGGATGTGGAAGGGATGGAGAGGATGTGGGTGGGGGATGGAAAGGATGGAGATATGGAGGGGATGTGGGAAGGAAGGAAGGGATGGAGGAGGTTTGGAAGGGAGGGAGAGGACGTGGAGGGGGTGAAGGAGCTGTGGAGAGAAGGAAGGAAGGGGATGGAGGAGGGGAGGGAAGGGATGGAGGAGGTGTTGGGGGGAAGAGGGGATGGAAGGGATGGAGGAGGTGTTGAGGGTGGGGAAGAGGGGATGGAAGGGATGGAGGAGGTGTTGAGGAGGGGGAAGAGGGGATGGAAGGGATGGAGGAGGTGTTGGGGAGGGGGAAGAGGGGATGGAAGGGATGGAGGAGGTGTGGAAGGGGATGGAGAGGATGTTCTGGGGATGAAAAAGATGGAGGAGGTGTGGAGGGGATGTGGTGGGGATGTAAAAGACGGGGGAGATGTGGAAGGGATGGAGGGAGGTTTGGAGGTGATGGAGGAGGTGTTGAGGGGATGGAGGAGGGGATGGAGAAGGGGGATGAAAGGGATATGGAGGAGGGGATGGAGGAGATGTGGAGGGGATAGGGTGTGAGGGGGGACAGAGCTGGAGGAGGCAGAGGGACGGGTGGAAGATGTGGAGGGGGTGAAGGATCTGTGGAGGGAATGAAGGAAGGGATGGAGGAGGTGTTGAGGGGATGGAGGAGGTGTTGAGGAGGGGGAAGAGGGGATGGAAGGGATGGAGGAGGTGTTTTTGGGGGAGAAGAGGGGATGGAAGGGATGGAGGGGGGGGGGTAAGAGGGGATGGAAGGGATGGAGGAGGTGTGGAAGGGGATGGAGAGGATGTTCTGGGGATGAAAAAGATGGAGGAGGTGTGGAGGGGATGTGGTGGGGATGTAAAAGACGGGGGAGATGTGGAAGGGATGGAGGGAGGTTTGGAGGTGATGGAGGAGGTGTTGAGGGGATGGAGGAGGGGATGGAGGAGATGTGGAGGGGGTAGGGTGTGAGGGGACGCAGAGCTGGAAGAGGCAGAGGGACGGGTGCTGCCTGGGGGGGACAGAGGGACGAGGATGCTGCAAACAGACACACCCCTGCATCCCAAACCTGGGCAGAGAGCTGCATCCCCCAGCACCATCAGGGGATGCTGGCAGGATGGAGGACAGGGCCAAGGGGCATTAAAACCCTTCGAGGTCACATCAACCCTGCTCATCCCCCCATCACAGCCCCCAGGATCTTCTGAGGCTTTGGGGGAGGGGAAAGGAGGTGGGGGGGGTATCACTGAACCCCCATCCCTGCCCTGGGGATGGCATCACGGTGCCAGGGCCTGGGCTGGGACCGTAAAATCGAAGCTGGCAGCACCTTGTCACGTTTGTTCTTCTCTCAAAAGAGGAGTGGGGAACAAGAGGATAATCCCCACTAATCCCATCAGCTGCGTGTGTGCGAGAGGAAGGGGTTTGGAAGCTGCGGCGACGCTGGATCTCAGCCTCTCCCCCCACTGTGGTGGCACGTTTTGGGGTGCTGGGAAGCTCAGTTTGCCCTTGACCACGCCGATGGGCTCCGGGGGGGGGATAAATATGTCCTGGGGAAGGAGATGGGCACCTCCTCCATCCCTTCCATCCCCTCTTCCTCCTCCTCAACATCTCCTCCACCCCCTCTTACCCCCCCTCAACACCTCCTCCATCCCCTCTTCTCCCCCAAAAACACCTCCTCCATCCCTTCCATCCCCTCTTCCCCCTCCTCAACACCTCCTCCATCCCTTCCATCCCCTCTTACC